TGCAGTCCCATTTCCGCGCGTCGTGCGCCTCGGCCAGAGGCTTCGCGGCGGGGCGCGCGGCCCCCGTTGGCCGCGACTGCGGCGGCCAAGGCAGCCCGGGATCGAGAGATGCAAAAGGCAGCGTGAAATAGCGAAGGGGAACGCAGCGCAGCTAGGTCCCCGGCGGTTCACGTTCCATGCTGGTGCATGGGCCCCGGGCCCGTTATGAAGACCCGTGGCAGGGAATGCATCCGTGGCGGTTTGGGCTCCCTCTTCTTCCCCTTCTTCTCCTGCTCTATCGCCGCGCCATCGCTGCGTCGCGCAGTCTCCTTTCCATCCGTCCTGCGCGTCTGCTGAACAGCCATCGAGGTGCAGTGTCGCCTTGGGGCTAGTGTGAGCCGTGTGATCGGCGCGGTCGACTGGCCGACATTGCGCTCCCAGTTCCATGTGTCCCGCGCCGCAGCCGGAGGGCTTGGCGGCGGAGCGCGCAGCCCCCGTTGGCCGCGACTGCGGCGGCCAAAGCATACCGGGATCGAGAGGCAAAAGACAACATTAACACCAGTGTTTCCTTTTTTGACCTGGAAGCAAACATCCTTTGTTGGATCTTCGCGGCGCGATTTGCGTGATATGCGTGTCGGGCGTTCCTAGGCTTCGGGATGTTCCGAACGAGGTGGCCATTATGCGAGTGAGAGGTGGGTGGCGACGCCGACAATCGCCTCCGAGATCTACTCATTCACTTAGGTGCGGGTAATGCAAGCCTGACCATGCATTTGTAAACCTGTGCGTAAACATATGTACAGGTTGAAGACGCGCACCACTACATTCAGAACGAACATCGATCATCACATATGTTTGTACACATGTATGTAGTTTTAGACATACACGTACGTATATTCACGCACATCGGCACCGATATAGAGAGTGCTACCGCGGCAGAGAAGAGGGCTGTATGTATTTGTAGACTCGCCATGAAGGACGCGGGGTCGTGAGGGACATGCCCAAGAATTGTCAACACGTGCCCAGGATGGAAGCAAGGTGCTGGGTAGACCCCGGGACCCAGAACCCGGTTTCCTCGGGACCCGTTTCTTTCATGTCGGTACATGATACGACAGAGAAGCGTCATCATCGTCGAAAACATCTCACCCCTACTGAAACAGTGTAAGGTGGCTTTCCCAACATGCGGCCTTTTGGTGGGGTTGCGCGCCGCTTAGTTCGAAGGAGACGACACCAACCCACTTTTGGGGAGTAGGTCGGCCGGCAATACCAAGGTTTCCCTGGTGAGGGTAACGGTTTCATTTTCCAGAAAAGCGTAAGACTCGAATTTGCCAAGGGTCGGGTACCTGCTGCTGGTGGTGTTTGACGGCTTAGCGTGAATCTTGACGGTCCAATTTTCGGGATATGTCTCCAGCGGGAGTTCGTGTTGAGTTCACACCACATCCCGCCACGTTCCTCATGGCCCCGTCCGACAATATCGGTCGCCCACAGTTCGAGCCTGTGTCTCTCCGCTACCTCTCCAGCGTTGCGGAATGGGCAGGCATGGAGGCGGAACCGAACAACGCAGAGACAGAGGCAAGGGCACGCCCTCCTCTCGGGCCGGCGGAGGCGGAGGCGGAGGCGGAGGCGGAGGCGGAGGCGGAGGCGGAGGCGGAGGGGGAAGGGGGGGGGTACGAAATCCGCTGCATGCAGCTGGTTTCGGCCCCGCCGCCAGGCCCATTTCTCGATGCATGGGCGCCTCCAGGCGCCGGGAAATTCAGCTGCATGAGCTGATTCTCCCCCCCCCCTTTGCTATCCACCCTTTCGCCCGGCCCGACCCTCCCCCATTCCGCCTCGCTCTGAAGCCATCTTGGGCCAGATCACGCCGGCCACGCGCCCGCGCGCCCCCCCCCTGCCCGGCACAAAGGCGGCCGCGCAGGGGCAGGGCACGCGCAGGGCCGACAGCCGCGCAGGGGGCGCCTCTGCGCCTCCGCTGCCCTGGCCAGGGCCGCCCCGGGCCCGTCGTGGCGCGCAGGCCTTCCGAGCCTCGGCCAGTTGGGCGGCGCCAGGTCCAGCTGGAGGAGGAGGAGGAGGAGGAGGAGGAGGAGGAGGAGGAGGAGGAGGAAGAAGAGGAGGAGGAGGAGGAGAGCCAAGGGGCTCCACCTTGTGGGCCTCCAGCTGGGCTTGGCCTGTATTCGGGCGGCGCCGAGTCCGGATGGATCAACTCCAGCCAGAGCCGCGTGGAGCAGACTCGGCCTCTCCTGGGCCGGGGGGGCGGGCACGCCATGCTGGGGCCCCAGGGCGGCCCTGGCCAGGTACGGTGCGTACAGTGCACAGAGGTGCCCCCTGCGCGGGCCAGGGTGCGCGCAGGGGCCGAGGGGAGGGCGCCGGGCCGCGGCAGCCTCGATGTTGCCGCCGCCGGGCTTCGGCCCGCCGGGGATCATGCTCCAGGCGCCGGGGTATCCGCAGGGCTGCAGCCCGTAGCCGCGGCCTCCCTCCAGGCCGAGCCATCTCGCTGCCATGCCAGGGGCAGCTTTCGTGGGGGCCCTCTTGGGCCAGGGCCTCGCGGCGCCGCGCTTCCCCCCCCCCCGCCCGCCCGCCCACCCCAGCGTGGGCTGAGCCATTTGGTGGCTGCTATCGACGGAATTTTGTTGGGGGGGGGGCCTCGCGGCCGTGGCGCCATTCCCTCCTGGGCTGAGCCATCCTGTGGCTGTGTCGGGGCTGTATTTGGACGCATTTTTGGGTCAAGGCCCCGCGGCGGTGACGTGACGCCGCCCCCCCCCCCATGGTGAGTTGCATGGCGGCAGTGTCGCCGCCCCGCCCCACGGTTGAGTCATCTCGTGGCAGTGTCGGGGCAGTTTTGCAGCCCATTCAGGCACGCTGCCGACGAGAGCTGATCTTCTTGAGGCCCTCTTGGGGTACTCCTGGGCCTCTCTGTGGGCTCTCTTGGGCCCCCTTTTCGTTGGGGGGGTCTTGCGGCCCTCTTGGACCCCTCCGGGGGGTTCTTGGGAGCCCTGGAGGGTCCTCTTGGGCCATTTTGGAGTCCGAAAGCGGGGTTCTTTTGGGCCATTTTGGGGTCCAAAAGCGGGGTGCTTTCTTCAGCACCTCCCTCGAGAGCCCTCAAGACTATGTCTCGCCCCCTCTCGCTCCCCCCCCTGGGGTGTTCTTTGGGCGCTCTTTGGCGCTCTTGGGGCCGTCTGGTGCGCCTCGTGGACCCCTCGTGCGGCTCTCTTGGGTCATATTGGGGCCATCTTATGGCCTCGGAGGCCCATCGGACGCGAAAAGGAGAGCATACGGCATTCACCGAGTTCATCAGGTTTTGAAGAATTTTGGATTCTTGGGGGGGATCTTTGAATGGCTCCGAGAGCACGCAGCAGCTCCTCTGTGGGCCGGGGGCCAACGGCTGCGCGGCCCCTCCCGTGGGCCGAGCCGCGGGGAGGCCTCCGCCCAGATGTCTTCGGGAGCCCGCGGGGGGCCCGGAGGTGCCCCAGGCATTGGCTCCGGCGAGCAGGAGGAGGAGGAGGAGGAGGAGGAGGAGGAGGAGGAGGAGGAGGAGGAGGAGGAGGAGGAGGAGGAGGAGGAGGAGGAGGAGGAGGCCAGGGAAGAACGAGGAGGAGGAGGAGGAGGAGGAGGAGGAGGAGGAGGAGGAGGAGGAGGCGAGGGAGAAGGAGGAGGCCCCAGGGAGAAGAAAGCGACCCCGGGGCGAGGCTCCGGGTTCTGGGTTCCGGCTTCGACGATTTTTTTTGGTGGGTTTTCTTCTTCGCGGTCTCCAGGGGCCGCTTTCGGGCCCTGGGCCCTGGGGCCGTCACAAGAGGATCCGAGATGGAAAATTGAGCCAGATGGACCCCAGGAGGGTTCCCGGGACTGATTTGTGCGGAGTTGCTCGTATCCCTCGGGGGCGGACAGACCTCCTACCCTGACACGTCGATTGAAGAGTTGGCCGTTCCCGGTTCGCGAGAGGGCGTCGCGGCCGTCATTTTTGCGGGTCCAGATCCGTCGGTTTCGGCTCCATGCTGTTTTCACTAAGGGGAGGTTTACTAGAGGGAGGTTTGTCCACCGCCGAATCCTGCTTGACCGATCTCCTCGAGGCCCATCCAGTTCAGACCCCCCCAGCCGCCTCGAACTCCCTCCCCTGGCCCTGGGATCGCCGGGGTGTCCCTGGGCCCCAGCGGTGATGCTCGGGCACTGCGAGAACGCCCGCCCAGACGAGTCGACAAAGGAAGTCTGCACGGGTTCACGCTACATTGGCATTCGAGAGCACTGGTGCAGTCTGCAGCCGCTCTCTCTAATCGACGTGCGTTTCGCTGGATACATTCGGTCATTTTTTTGACGTTAATGAGCTGCCCGGCCCGAAAAAAGCACTCGGAGTGCGGTGCGTCGTGTGCACGAGGAGCTCCGCCGGCAGCTTTCACCAACAGGCGTTTTTCCAGAAGGGTTTTTCCGTCCACCCGCGAGATGAAGGTCACCACCCACCAAACCACCCCAACCCAACCCGAAGGCTCAAATTGAACCTCGATCTCCAGTGGGGGGGGGTCGGGAAACATCGACAAAAACACATGTGGAACCCGTACCCCCCCCAACCCGAAATTCGGGTCTTCGGGTTGGGTTGGGGTGGTCTGGTAGGTAGTCAGAGGGGGGGCGCGTGGAGTAGCGACAGGTCGCGTTTCCACGCACGATTGGCGCGCTCCGTCGCCACATGCGGCGGTAAGTACTGGCTGCACGTTTCGGGGGCACCTTCCCCGATCCGTGGACCTGGCGCCCGCGCGCCAGGTCCTCGAATCCCTCGTCCATGCTGCCGTGTGTCAGGAGGAAAAGAAACACACAGACACAATTAATCGTCGATTCCCCAGAAAATATGGGAAAATATGGGAAGTAGGGGGGAAGACAAAAACAAAGAAAATATGCGAAAATACAGGGAATCCTTTTATTTGTGTGTATTTATTTGTGTGTCCCAGGGCCCCTTCAATGCTGGCGTGTGCCCGATCGGTGGGCCGGCGGACACCTACCCTGGGGCGTACCCGCAGAAGGCTGGGTATGGGCCGGCGCCCATGGTCTCCGGGGCGCCGGGCCAGATGTCGATGGCGCATTTCGGCAGGAAGAAGTTCCACGGCGCGGAGCTTCACAGCGCGCGGGAGGAGATCCAGATGAGTATGCAGCTGCGCTGCCGCGCGACTCCGCCACCGCCACCGCCACCAAACCACCCCATCCCAACCCGAAGGCCTCGATTTGCCGTCCATTTCCAGTGGGGGGGGGGTTGTCGGGGAACACAGAAAAAACACAAATGAAGCCCGTACCCCCTCCAACCCGAAATTCGGGCGAACTTCGGGTCTTCGGGTCGGGTTGGGGTGGTCTGGTAGGCAGCCAGCCACCACCCCCGCCACCGTGCTCTGCTCGGCAGGTGCAGGAGCCACACTGACAGGGTCCAGGCAGGGAGCCCGTGTCGGGCCCGACGTGTCCCCGGGGGGGCTGGGGTCGACGTGTTGGGCTCGGCATCGCTCGGGGGCGGCAGACAGGGGGGTGGTGACTAGGGTCGGGCCGGACCAAAGCGGGGGATTGGGAAAGGGGGGGTTACGAAATTTGCTGCATGCAGCTGGTTTCGGCCTCACCGAGGGGCCCATTCCTCGATACATAGCTCCCTCTGGCGCTGGGAGGCGCCGGAAAAATCAGCTACGTGAGCTGATTCTCAACCCCCTCCTTTGCTATCCCCCCCTTTTGCCCGGCCCGAGACAGGGGGGGGCGGATCTCATGGCGTGGGCCGTGATATCTCCAAAGATCTCACGGCGCCGCTTCTCATTCCATTACGCCTTGAGCCTTCCCTCCATGGGCCGTGCACATGCCGCCGGCCCTGCGCAGGTTTCTTGGATCCGCGCTGGGCACCCCCCCCAGCGGCGCCTCCGGCGCCGCCCCTGGCGCGCTCCGCGCGCCAGAAGGGGGGTTTAGCGCAGATCCAAGAAATCCGCGCGGAGCGCCAAAAGTTTATGTTTATGCCATTTTTCTGCTACTAATCAAAGTACTCGACGCGGAGAGTCCCATATGTGCAACTCATTCTCTGGCGCGTTTCGCTGTGAGCGTCTGGACGTGAGTGTGTGGGTGTGAGAGGGAATCCGAGTGGACGATGGGTGCGGCGACGACGGCGGCGGCTACGATGACAGACAGCGCCGACCGCGACGACAACAATTCACGGACAGACGGGCGCTGAGCAGGCCGTTCCCCTCTCCTTCCTCGTCTTCCTCGTCGTACTCTATCCCATCTCTGTATCCTTCCTCTCTTCCCCCTCCTCGTGCGTTCGCCTTCCTCCTCCGTTCTCCCGCATCCTCTCGGAAGGCCGTCCTTCTCCCTCCTCGTGCGTCCTCTTCCTTCCTCCTCCTTGTCCCCTCTCCCACCGTCCTCCTTCTTCCTCCCTGGTAAGTGCTCCCCTCCCTGGCGGCCCCCTCCCCTCCCCTTCCGCGTCCTACTTGCCGTAGCCCCTCCCTTCTCTTTCTCCATCCTCCCTTCTTTCTCCCCTCCTGTGTCCTCCTCCTTCCTCCTTCGTCCTCCCTCCTCCCTGGCGGTCGTCCTGCCCAATTACGTGCGTCCTCCTCCTTCCCCCTCTTTGTCCTCTCTCCTCCGCCGGCCTCCCTCCTCGCTCCTCCCTCGCCGGTGCCCCCTTCCCTGGCGGCCCCCTCCCTTCCCCTTCCTTTTCCTACTCGCCGGAGCCCCTCCCTTCTCTTCCTCCATCCCTTCCTCCATCCTCCTACTCGCCGCAGCCCCTCCCTTCTCTTCCTCTTGGCGGCCGTCCTTCAATTTACATGGTGGTGATCACGGGGCTCTGAATGGACAGGAGTCGGAGGTGCAAGACGAGCGCCTCGCTCCAGACGTCCCCACAATCTCCAATGGGCGAGTGTCATACCGCGTGGCCTCTCCTTCGCTGTGCCGACGCCAGCGCCTCGTTCGAGATAATCCCACTGTCTGCTCCGACAACGGGGGAGTCCGAGGCACCCGGGAGGCTAGCCGCCCGAGGCATCCCCGCAGTCTGGCCGCGAACGGGCTGCTGGCGGCTCCAGCCTGGGGTGCTGAAGCCAGCGCCCCGCCCGAGCCGTCGGGGCAACGTGAGGCTCGAATGAGCCAGAGCTCGGGTGAGCCGGCGTTTTTTGACGAGCGCGTCCTGGAGTTTGACGGTCCGGTGTTCTCGGGATGTCTGCAGCGGGAGCCCGCGTCAAATTTCAGATTGGGTCTCGTCATTTTCATGGTGGCCCCGTCGGGCCAACCCGAGTCCCCCGTACCCGAGTCTTGCGCCTCCCCGGTTCTTGAAAGCAGAGGACCGGGGGGCCGAAGCAGGGGCACCGCCCGAGACGTTCCCACAGTCTGGGCGCGACTGGGCCCGTGCAAGCACGCCTGGCGTGGCTCTCCCATTTGGGGTGCTGAAGCCAGCGCCTCGCCTGGATCTTCTTTGAAAGCAGAGGGCTGGGGGGCCGAAAAAGGGACACAGCCTGAGATGTCCCCATAATTTGGGCGCGAACGGGCTCGTGCAATTACTTCTTGCGGCTCCCCCCTTGGAGTGCTGAAGCCAGCGCCTCGCATGAGACATCCATGCAGTGTTAGTGAGGAGTGAGTCTGAGTATGAGCATGGGTCTGAGTATAAGTGAGTCTGAGTATGACTGCGTCTGATTGCGAGGAGAAGGGAGTCAAGAGGAGGAGTGTGAGGCAATCGGCGGCGTCAGAGTAATTACTCGACGCGGAGATGACCACACACACACACACACACACACATATATATATATATATATATATATATATATATATCCCTTTGGGCGAGGCCGGGGGCCCCAGGACAGGTGCCCCCACCCCCCATGGCGGGACGGGGGCTCATTTTCCCTGTGTTTTTACAGGGTTTCCGCGTCCTGGGCCTCGGAGGCCGCCGCCTCCAACCCCCCATGGGAGGACGGGGCGGCCGGGGAGGTCCAAAATAGTCCAGGAGGGCATCCAGAGGCTCCCAAGACGGCCCAAGCTGGCCCCGAGTCGCCGAAATACCGCTCCAGGACGCCCAAGATAGGCTCAAGACGGCCCGAGAGGCCCCCCAAGGCACTCCACGACGCTTCAAGACGCCTCTCCCAAGCGCTTCAAGAGGCCGAAATCGTTTATTTTACAGAGGTTTTGGACACTTTTGCTTTTCCCGCCTTCTCAGCTTTCCGACGCTCCACGACGGCTGAAAGGCCCCCCGCGGACGCCCCAGGAAAGCCCAAGAGGCCTCCAAGAGGGGCTCAAGACGGCTCTGAAGGGCCCCAAGACGGCCCAAAACGTGCTCAAGACGGGCGAAGGGAGCCCCAAGACGGCCCAAGCGGGCCCCGAGTCGCCGAAAGACCGCTCCAGGACGCCCAAGATAGGCCCAAGACGGCCCGAGAGGCCCCCCAAGGCATTCCACGACGCTTCAAGACGCATCTCCAGAGCGCTTCAAGAGGCCGAAATCGTCAATTTTACGAAGGTTTTCGAACGATTTTGGCCTTCCAGCCTTTTCGGCTGTCCGACGTTCCAAGACGGCTCAGTAGGCCCCCAGGAGCGCCCAAAGACGGCCCAAGAGGGCCCCAAGAGGGCCCCAGAGTCGCCCAAGACAGCCCAACAGAGCCCCAAGACGGCCTCAAGATGCGCCCAAGACGGGGACCACGACTCCAAGATTCGACCAACCGGCTTGAAGAGTGCCCCAGGAGGCCCCAAGGAGCCCCCAAGAGGCCCCAGGAGGCCCCCAAGAGGCAAACCAGGATGCCCAAACGAGGCCTAAAGAGGCCGCAAAACAGCCCCGAGGAGACCCCACAACGGTGCCAAAACGGCTACCGAGACGGCAAGGAGGAGGAGGGGAGGAGGAGGAGGAGGAGGAGGAGGAGGAGGAGGAGGAGGAGGAGGAGGAGGAGGACAAGGACCAGTGTACATCCAAGAGCCATCCACCATGTTGCAATGAACGCTCCCGCCTAGCTTCTTCTTCGTAGGCTCCTACGGGAATTATTTGTTCATTTCGGGAAGTGCTCCATTTGACGGCAACTGCCCGAGAATCCTCAATCGTGACAAGACGCCGTTCCTGGGACTTCAGCGCAGCGAAGCAACATGACGGTTGCGCCCTGGCATTCCTAAACCACGCCGGAAGGTCCTTCCTGGAACCTCAACGCCGCGAATCCGCTTTATTGCTGCGCCCTGACGCTCGTAAACCCTGCCAGCACACCATGCCTCGGACGTCAACCAAACGAATCCCCCAAACGGTGGCAAACCTTTCAGACGACTGGGCGCGGCGCCAGGGCGCCTACCACGTGTTGAAGAGGAGCCGCCCTCGGTCCTGCCAGCGGCTGCAAACACCGACATCGGAAAGCACGCGGCGCTGGGGCGATAGTCACGTTTTGAAAACAAACAGCCGCCCCTCCATCCTTGAAGCTGCTGCGACTTGTCGATGATGCTCCGACCGATCCGCCTGCCCCTCTTCTGTGCGAGCTCGCGTTCACAATCGGGGAAGTCCGCGCTAGAACCTAAGCGCGCGCGAAGCGCGCGCGTGGTTCTAGTATATATATATGGATCTCATATTCCTGTCACGTGTCGCTGAGGAACTCTGTCTGTGAGCACCTCGGTGTGAGAGAGAGAGTCCGCGTAGACGACGGGCGCGACGACGACGACGGCGACGGCGACGGCGACGGTGACGGCGACGGTGACGACGATGACGACGACGACGACAGCGACGACTTCAGTGGTGTCCTCCTCCTCGCAGCATCTTCCAGGAGAGATCATGGAACGCAAGTGAAACTGCGAGGGAGCATGGGACCACCAGAAGAGAGACTACTGTCAGTGAAACTGTGTGTATGTGGCCTGATTGTGACTGAGTCTGAGTGTGTGTGAGTCGGGGTATGCTTGTGTTCGAGAGTGCGCGAGTCTCTGCATGCGAGGGTCTGAGTACGAGTGGGTCTGATTATGGGTAAAACTGGATGTCGGTGAGTCTGAGTGCGAATGATTCTGAGTCCGAGTGTGAATAAGCCTAAGGTCTGAGTGTGTGTATGCTGTGTATGGGTTTGAGTATGAGTGAGTCTGAGTACGAGTGAGTCAGAGTATGAATGAATCTGAGGGTTTGGGAGTCTGAGTGTGAGTACGTCTGAGTGCTAGTAATTCTAAGTGTGAGTGAGTCTGAAAATGAGTATGTTCAGTATGAGTCTAGGAATGCGTCTGAGTATGAGTGAATCGGAGTACGATAAAGGTTGAGTTCCATTGAGTCTGAGGGTGGGTGGATCTGGTGTGAGTAAGCCTGAGTGTGGTTCTGCCTGAGTCTGAGTGGGTATGGGTCTGAATGCGAGTGAACCCAACTAGCGGATGAGTGTGAGTACGAGTGATTCTGAGTATGTCAGAGTCTGAGTGTGACGAGAGAGTCTGAGCGGGCAAGGGGTGCTGATGAGGAAGGTCTCTGTGTGTGTGTGAATGCGTGTCTGGGTGAGGAAGAGGAGGTGGTGAGCGAGCGAGTGAAGTCCGCAGGCCTCCAAGTAGCACAAAGCCCTGGAACAACCCCGTGGGCCGAAGCAGGCAGACCGCCCGAGAGAGTCTCCACAGCCCGGGCGCCAACGGGCCCGTCGAGCGCCTCCCCGTCGGCTGCTTCCCCTTTTGGGTGCCGAAGCCAGCGTCTGGCCCGAGGCAGCCCCACAAACTGCTTCTGAACGCAGAGGAGTGGGGGGCGCCGAGTACAGTCGGGGCGCTGAAGAAGGAACCCTTTTCGTTGGGGAGGGGCTCCGTGTTCCTTGATTGTTTCACAGCTTGCGTCAGGTTTTCCTGAGGTTTTCCATGGGACATCGATGTTTAACTTATGAGAAAAAGGGGCCTCGTTCCTTATTTAGGGTTCCTTAGGTCAACGTCCCGACTGTATCTCCACAATCTGGACGCGAACGGGTCCTTGAAGTGCGCCCTGGCGGTTGCCCCTTGGGTATTGCAGCCAGCGCCTCGCCCGAGGCATCCCCACAGTCTGCTCTGACAGCAGGAGTGTCGGGGGCGCCGAGTCAAGCCAACCGCCTGAGACATCCCCCCAATCTGGGCGTGCCTGGGCCCGTGAAATAGAGTCGGGGGCGCCGAAACAGGCCAACCGCCTGAGGCGTTCCCACAGTCTGGGCGCGGTCTGGCCTGTAAAATACCTCCGGCAGCTCCCCCCTTGGGGTGCTGAAAGAGCGCCCTGGCGGCTGCCCCTTCGGGTATTGCAGCCAGCGCCTCGCCCGAGACATCCCCACACTCTGTTTTGACAGCAGAAAAGTGCGGGGCGCCGAAGCAAGCCAACTGCCTGAGACATCCCCACAATCTGGGCGCGACGGGGCCCGTGAAATACCCCCTGGCGGCTCCCCCGTTGGGGTGCTGAAGCTAACGCCTCGCTTGGGACATCCCCCCAATCTGCTCTGACAGACGAGTCGGGGGCGCCGAAACAAGCCAACCGCCTGTGAAATACATACTTCTTGCGGCTCCCCCGTGGGGGTGCTGAAGCCATTGCATCGCCTGAGACATCCCCGCAATCTGCTTTGACAGCAGAGGAGTCGGTGTCGCCGAAAAAGGCAGACCACCTGAGTCATCCCCACAATCTGGTCGCGACCGGCCCCGTGACATAGCTCCCGGCGGCTCCCCGTAGATGTTGAAGCCAGCGGAGTGCGGACGATGCCCTCTGCGCCGGCTCGCCACAGAGTGAGGAAATGATGTGACGAAGTCTGAGTGAGCAAGATTGAGTCTGACTATGAGTGAGTCTCAGTGTGGGAGAGTCTGAGTGTGAGCGAGTCTGAGCGAGTCGGAGTCAGGAAGTGATGCGGCCGAGTTTGATGGAGCAAGTCTGACAGTGCATGAGTCCGAGTATGAGTGATTCTGAGCATGAGTGAATCTCGGTGTGATGCGAGTGAAGGAGAAAGCGGAGTGATGTGAGTATGAGTTCGCTTCGAGTGATCGAAGTATGAGCATCTGAGTGGAAGGGAACTGAGGACGGAAATGCGGAGGGGAACTGAGGAGGGGAATGCGTCAGAGTAGTAACATGAACCCCATCTTAGGATATGGAGAATGCCAACAGCCCCATCACAGGATATAGGCAGTCAAGGCGGGAACAAGGGCCGAGTGACGTCTCCGCGTCAAGCACCGGAGCGGCCACCAGGCGCTGCAGGTGCGGGGCCGCGAGAGGCAAGTCGGCGTGCAGAGGTGGGCAGGAGAACGGGCGCGGGCAGGGCGTGCAGGACATAGAGTAAAGCATCCTCCTCCTCCTCCTCCTCCTCCTCCTCCTCCTCCGCTTCTTCCTCCCTCCCTCCTCCTCCTCCCCCTCCTCCTCCTCCTCCCTCCTGCTAATCTCCCTCCTCCTCACTCCTCTCCTCCTCCTAACCCCTTCATCATCCTCCTACTATCCCCTCCTCCCCCTCCTCCCCCCTCCCCCCTCCCCCCCTCCTCTTCCTCCTCCTCCTCCTCCTCCTCCTCCTCCTCCTCCTCCTCCCCCTCCTCCTCCTCGCGAGCCTCGGCCACGCCAAGGGTGGCCGTTGGTGTGGTCGGCAAGGCCGTGGTGGTGTGCTGCGTCACAGACACACAGACAGACAGACCAACCGCTGTCCGCTGGCCCCCCTGCGGAGACGTCGGCAAAATCAGAGCAGTTCTGGGGCCATCTTGGGGCCTCTCGGTGCTGCCCTCGGGCCACCCTCGGCTGCAACCCTCTGCTGGGATCTCTGGGGCCATCTCGGGGGCCTCTGGGCTCCTTCTTGCGGCGGCATTATTTCTGAGCGTTCCCTTCCTTGTTGTTTATCTTTGTGGAAATCAGATAAACAAGTTGTTTCCTCCCTTCTTTGAAGGCCAAAAAGTCGTTCGTGTCAGCGTCGGCCTGCCCCGTGTGGTTGGTTGTGGCAGGTCCTGAAGAGGATGGCCAAGACACACGCCGAAACGCTGGTGGCGAACTGGACCCGGGGTGCCCGAATAGTTGGGCATATTCAGTTTTAAACCAGATATGAGCACTTGTGCTGACTTATGTTGCACTCATTTTGATATGCCTGGCAACTGACGGGTTATCAGCCGAAGCTCTCCAGGAGCTCGTCTTCCTCGTTTTCGGTCAGCAGTCACAGCCTTTTTCCCATCAGCCAGAGTAGTATCAGTGGTCGCTTTACCATAAAGGGGGCTTCGCACGTACGCTCTGATTGTGGTGCCCGTGAACTGGGATACGAAGTTGGCTCCGCCGTCCTGTGCTCCAGTCAATGCTCTGGTCACGGGGGCGGGGGGTCACAAGGAAAAAGGGGGCATCAGCGGCCTAGCCGCCAGGTGCCGACGGTGTCACGAAAGAGGGGGGAGTTGTTGCCTCCCTTCTTTGAAGGCCAAAAAGTCGTTCGTGTCAGCGTCGGCCTGCCCCGTGTGGTTGGTTGTGGCAGGTCCTGAAGAGGATGACCAACCACACGCCGAAACGCTGGTGGCGAACTGGACCCGGGGTGCCCGAATAGTTGGGCATACTCAGTCCTAGACCAGATATGAGCACTTGTGTTGACTTATCTTGCACTCATTTTGATATGCCTGGCAAATGACGAAACAAGACAGGAAATGGTATACCACGAATGGAACTTTCCCAACATGTCAACGCCGGACTTGGGTTTGCCGATGCTTCCGGACGAGCGCGTCTTGGATTTTGACGGTCCAGCTTTCGTGGGATGTCTGTAGCGGGAGCTCGCGTCAGATTCCGGACTGGGTTTCGTCATTTAAATGATGGCCCCGTCAGGCCAACCCGAATCCCTCGAACCCGAATCTTACGTCTCCCCGAAAATGTCGCACAACCGACACTTATGCGTAATCGCTTGCACAGCTGGAACCAGCGTAAATCCCACACGGAAGAAATCAGCTTGTTGAAAGTTTGGCATGAACAAGGTTTTTATGAACGAGAGAAAGATTCTAGAGAGGGAGAAAGAGAGAGGGGTAGACAGAGAGACAGAGAGAGAGAGAGAGAGAGAGAGAGAACGACAGATACAGAGACAGAGGCATATATAGTTCTGTATATATATATATGTATATGTATATGTATATGTATATGTATATGTATATATATATATATATATATATATATGTATACATAGAAGCATACACGAATAACGCCAGACAGTTATTCTAGACGTGCCCTAAATCTTCCTCCGTGCGAGGCGGAAATCTGCATTAATACCCCGCACAAAGAGCACATCGCCAGATGTGAACGATTTGCGCTGCCCTCATCTCCGCCGTGCCTCCAACGAGCCTACGAAACTGGCGACAGTTGTGCAGTTCGCAACCACCCAAAGAGCTGCGATGTCTCGATTGGATCCGCGTGGCCCCCGACTCCGCTGGACCTCCCGGAGCCAACGAAGTTGCGACAGCTGCACAGTTCTTGCATAACAGGAGCGTGCGAGGTTTCGGCTGGGCGCGCGTACCCCCCTACTCCGCTGTGCCTCCCAAGAGTCCGCGGAAGTTGCGACGATACGCGGTTCGCAGCCACCCAGGGGGCTGCGAGGTCCCGTTTGAGTGCGCGTGGCCCTCGACACCGCCGCGCTTCCCCGGAACCCGAAAGTGGCGCCAGTTGCATTGTTCGCAGCCGCCAAGGAAGCAGCGAGGCCTCGGCTGGGCGCGCGTGACCCCCCATTCCGCCGTGCCTCCCAGGAGCCCACGACAGTGGCGCCAGCTTCACAGTTCGCAGCCACCCGGGGAGCTGCGAGGTTCCGTCTTTGTGCGCGTACTCCGCTGCTCCGCCGTGCTTCCCAAGAGTTCACGGAAGTTGCGATAATTGCGCAGTTCGCAGCCCCCCAGAAAACTGCGAGGTGTCGGCTGGGTGCGCGTTCTCCGCTACTCCGCCGTGCCTCCCAGGAGCTCACGAACGTGGCGACAGTTGCGCAGATCGTATCCACCCAGCGAGCAGCGATGTCCTGTATTGGGGCGCGTACTCCGCTACTCCGCCGTGTCTCCGTGGAACCAACGAACGTGGCGACAGTTTCGCAGTTCGCATCAGTTCGCCATCCTCCATGGAGCAGCGATGCCACGCAGGGACCCGCGTGGTTCCCGATTCCGCCGTGCCTCCCAAAAACCCAAGCAAGTACTGACGCTTGCGTAGTTCGCAGTCCCCATCTGGGAGCTGCAAGGTTCCGTCTGGGTCGGCGTACTCTGTTACGTAATCGTCGCCGTCGTGGTAGTAGTCGTAGTAGTAGTAGTAGTAGTAGTAGTAGTAGTAGTAGTAGTAGTAGTAGTAGTAGTAGTAGTAGTAGTAGTAGTAGTAGTTGTAGTAGTAGTAGAAGTCGTAGTAGTAGTAGTAGTAGTAGTAGTAGTAGTAGTAGTAGTAGTAGTAGTAGTAGTAGAGTAGTAGCAGTAGTAGTCATAGTGGTAGTAGTCGTAGTCGTAACCGTAGTCGTAGTAGTAGTAGTAGTAGTAGTAGCAGTAGTAGTAGTAGTAGTAGTAGTATTAGTAGTAGTAGTAGTAGTGGTA